ATTTGGTCATTACATGTAAGATAATTGCAGTAATTTTTGCAAACCTATAGTATCGGCAAATCGTTGCGGAGAATGAGGTATTTTGGCCCCCAATAGGAATACGTGACCCTCTTTTATAATCACATCTCTTGGTTCGCCTTTTTCTATGACTTTCAAACACATGTCTCCTTTAATCATATAAAACAACTAAAAACACTAAATATAAGTCATTTGTAATTGAATTAATAATGAGTTCCTATACTTCCTCTCCCTCTTCGATGTGATAGTCTTTGCGTTGATTCGGTCCGCCGACGAAGAATACCTTCAGCTGTGAATTATGCCTTCAAGTAATTTATTAGTACCAATTAATTAGACATTTATTGTAATATTTTTAATTAGATTAGATTTACATTAATTTGTTACAAATTGGAGGAAGAAAATAGTCTTTATTGTCTTCAATCCATGTTTTCATATTAATTGATTTGCTCTCCATTTTGACCAACAATTGAATTAATTTTAATGCAAATGTTAAAAGTTTGAGTTATAGCCAGTTTAGACTCAACTGTCAATTACATGAAATAATCAATTTTTTGAAAAATTGTTTATTAGCTTTTAATATGTGTTTAATAAAGAAATTTATCAATACATTTGGTTTTTGTTATCGTTTTTCAATAACCAATTAATGTATCAAACATTTAAATAATCTCTGTTTACAAGAAAATTGTCATCAAATCTAATCTTTCTTGAGATAATTGAATGTTTTTATAAAATGGTGTTTTCATGTATTTTAATCTGCGTTTAATAAGTGGTTTGGGGCTTAAAAATGGTAAAAACTTATAAATAAACAATTTATAAAAGACTCAGAAGAACCGAACAACTTCTCAATGGATTTGCAAACTTTTTTTATTAATTATAGCTTTAAAAAAATCGTTTTATTTTTTGCCTCACTTTTAAGAAACCGAACAATTCTTTGGTCCATAAAATTCTCGGAAAACATTACTGTATTTATTATATATTTATGTCTATAACTCCTAATAAACAACAAAAACACTTCAAAATCTATGCGTTCATAAGTTAAAGGCTTGTATTAACTGCTTTGGTCGCAGAAAAAACTTTTAGTGAAACACCTGTTTTGCTTAATAGTTATTTTGATCATCAGTTTATATGATTTATTTTGTATTCTTCTTCGCATTCGATGGGAAAATATTTTTACTATTAGTTTAACAGATACTAAAAATATACTAAAATCAAATTAGAGTTATATTGCAAACAATTTATTGATGACAGATTAGACTCCGTTGATAGGCGTTAAACACTAACACGGAAAGGGAGAGAAAGAGAAAGAGAGAGAGAGAG